GAAGGCAGAGTGTGGAGCAGAACAGGCAGATCTACTGAAATACACTGCTGAGGGGAGCAGTGAGTGGGTCAGGAGAGGCCTGCCACACCATGTGGGCCACCTCTCTGGCTGGGGACTGAACTTATGCTGCAGTGGCTTCAGATAGTTTCTTAGTGCTGCACTTTAACCCACTGTACCACTAGAGAGGGACCTTGAACCTATTTCACTTACTACCCACACTTAACTACCTACAGCAGAGATACTAGCATTTTATGACTCAGTTTATATATAAAATAGTTGACTTAACGATCTGTAATTGTTGTCAAGTAAGATAAAACCATCCTGCTTTGATGTTTACTAATAAAAACCTTACAATGTTGCTGGGATTATTCACTTGATTTGGCATGGTTTAGACTCTTAATTACTCTCTTATTACATAGTTTTGCCCAGCTTAAAGTCATCTATAGGGCCCTCCCTATGGTGCAATGGGTTAAAGCACAGCATCATGAAGCTCAGAGCGGCCACTTCACATGAGTTCAATCCCTGGCCAGGGAGGTGACCCACATGACTGGCAGACCTCTCCAGACCTGCCCACTGCTCCTCTCAGCAGTGTATCTGTCAATCTGCCTGTTTTGCTCCCTGCTCTGCCTCTGGCAAATCCTCTCACCACTTCTGCACTCTGGCCTGTACCCTAGTTCTGTATGCATAAATAAATAAACCTTAAAAATAAATAAATTAAGTCATCTATAAAGAAATTTGCCTGGATTGTTTTCTCTCACCCAATTCCCTAACTAATCTATTAGTATTACATCTCTTCACCCAATTCCCTCACTAATCCATTAGTATTACATCTTTTCACTTCCATTTTCTTTTTAAAAAAATATGCACGTATTTTTACCTCATTGGTTATTTAGTCTTTAGAAGGTATGGGGTTTTTCATTCAGAGTATTAAAAAAAATTAGCTGTGTTCACTTAAAGCATTCTCTAATAGGTACCATGAACTATACTAAACATTTTATAAATCTAATGAAGTGCTGTACAAAATACTTTAGCTAACTAAATAAAATCCATACCTTTATGACTCTGAAAAGGGGCTAAAAAATAAAGTGGATTATTCAGTTAGAGACTGGACTCACACACTCTCTACTTTCACACAGAGGTTCTACTTTGAAATTTTATGCTGGTATGTCCATTCTGTCTTTTATGAGACTTATAAAAGACCTAAAAAACATATAGTTTTCAAGAGGGTTAAAAAAAAAATGAGAACACCCTTTTAAGATTTGTGTTGTGGGACCAACAAACACGACTGCCTAGGCACAGTGTGATTCAGGTGAACTCAACTGGAATAAACTCAGATAGAAATGAAGCAACTACAATCTCTGACTTGTGGAATGTAATGTGGGCTTTATGATGTGGGATTCAGAGAAGTAGAAAAACTAGAACTATTTTAGTGACAGTATCTGGAGTAACCTGGGTGGGTCCAGGCTAAAACAGTTCACACAATCTCTTTGGGATTATATAGGATACACTGTGACTCAGCTAGAGCAATCCTATGCTGTACTAACTAGCCTATTACAGGTAGGAAATTTATTTGAGACTCCAAGAATAAAAATCACCTGGGACCAATATGATGCCAAAAGATTCTTACTTGGAAACATACTGGGACAAACATGATGCCAGAAGAGTCTTACTTGGAAACATACTGCTGTACCTAATACCAGACTCAAAGACATATCATGACCAAAGCCCATGAAGCTATCTGACTGCAATATGGATAGGGAGTGTGTCTCGGGAATATAAAATGTCTTCTGATTAAAATAGAGAAGGTAAAAACAGGTTTATACAGTACATTCCAGGAATCAACCAGTCACATGGAGGTAGCAGGCTAGGAGTCAACCAGTCACATGGAGGTAGCAGCCTAGGGCAGCTTCAGGAACCCAGACAAAGAGGAGTGAAATAAAAACAACTGAACTTGTAAACATTTGCCTGATTGAAGAGCTGAAGAAATGTGACCGGGTTTCTGCAACTCTGCATTATCAGGGTGAACCACAGGAAGCATACAGGATTGGACACTATGTACAGGTAAGAAGGAAAGAATAGGGGAAAAGTAACTCCTAACAAGGAAAGAAAATAGAGTAGAAGAAAGAAGGAAAATATGTGAGAAAAGACAGACAAGTCAATAACAACAGAGCAACCCCCAAGATGACCTACCAAAAGGTGAAAAACAGAAAGGAAGAAGAGCCTAGAAAAAAGTAGAAGAAAAAAAGGAGTGAAAATTGAACAGGAGGTTCTAAATGAGATGGGAGTAGGTAGGAAAAATGAAGTTTAAAAGGAGCATCCTAAATATTTTCAGTTACAGTGTGAAATATGAAGAAACCGATAATACAAATAATATACAAAGCTAAAGAAGGCTATGTGTAATCTATGATATACTGAGGGGTGAGATCCTAGAAAGATCTGAGAAGTCAGTGAGTAGAGATTTTCATTTCCTTTTATTTGGAAGGTTAGTCAGATTTTTATTTACTTATACACACACACATATAGCGTTCCTGAAAAACAACCTACTTGTAACTGACACATATTTAACCTTACTATGTGTAAGTCACTGACAGACACAATTACATAAGAGCAAGCCTTCAGAGCTTTACACATCCTAAGAGAACCTAAGGTTTAAGACATTTAAAGCACATAAAGTATTATATAAGATACTGATATCAGGTTGAAAAGATAGGAATTAATGCTAGAGTAGGTCCAATTTTATTCACTCTGTCTAATCAACAATTACTAGATTTCATAAATTTGATAAAGATTTTAATGCAAATGAATTTTAGGTAACCATGTATGCTATTAATCATGCAAAAGAAATTATTTTCATTTACCTGAAAATATGCCGACATAAAAGTGTTATCCACAACCAAAATAATGTCTCCATGTTTATGGACAGTATGTGCACAGGCTTCAATGTCAGTCATCTTCAAAATAGGGTTTGTAGGGCTTTCAATCCACACAAGCTAAAAGAATTCAGTAAATGACAATAATTTATGAAGGGAAGCTGCAGGCAAAAACAAGAGAGGTCTGCTGTGCCATGTGGGTCACCTTCCTGGGCAGGGATTGAATATGTGCTGCAGTGGCTGACAATAGCTTCATAGTGCTGTGCTTTAACCATTTGTACCGTCTACCACATAGATTTTCGAGTAAAGGAGAGAAGTAACACACACAACAGAAAGCCTAGCTCACTAACACTATAATTATAGTAAATGTCAGTAAATATTATTTACTGACATTTACTATAATTATCTGTATATCCCAAAACCTAGCAAAATGAATGCACAGTAGATGCTTGATATTATTGAAAAGACCAAAGAGAGCACTGTTTGTTAACAAAGTGTCACCTTGAATAGAATATTGCATAAAAGAGCTCTGCTTTGATACTCTTCCTATTCTAGAATTTTACTATAGAAAAGTTAAGACAGCTAAAATAATGTATATTCTACAGGAATTAGCTTATTTAAAGAATCTATAAAAATTGTTCCTGACTTGGGGCCTTCCTGTTGGCATAGGGGGTTGAGGCACAGGGGGTTGAGTCACAGCACTATGAAGCTATCTGCAGGCACTGCAACATGGGTTTGAACCCTGGCCAGGAAGATAACCCACAGCGACCTCTCCTGTCTCATACACTTCTCTCCTCAGCAATGTATTTTGGTCAATCTTCCTACTCTGTTTCCCACTCTGTCTTTGGTGAATCCTTTCACACTGCTGACCCCCCAACCCCTGCACCTCTGGCCTATATCCCAGATCTTGTATGCATAAATAAATAAATCTTTTAAAAAATTATTCCAGAATTAAGAATTTGTTATCTTTACTGATTAGGAAAAAAACTGAAATTAGTGTAAATAAATGCAAGTCAAATTTACATGGACTTTAAGCACCTACTTCAAATGATGAAGCCGGTATTTTGGGCGGACAAAAGAACTGCATTATTCAAATAAGTACAGAGCCATTACACCAATTGTAAGTGTATATTCACAACTTGCTGTCCTCCCTTAGAAAGATTCAGACTATTTCAATAAGTATCTTCTCCCATGCAAGATAAAAACAAATTCCTTTGAAAATAAATCTTAATCCTTCAAAGTTCACCTCTGTGTAATTATTTGTGTGGGAAAAGATTTTCATTTTTTTTAGCATTCTCTGCAACATAATCTTGAGTACAATTCAAATCTTTCAAACATTGGTAAAAAGTAAGGAAAGGCTGACTCTGATCTTTCTTCTATGCAAACAGAATTTAAATGAGGTCCTAAGAAAGAATATCATACAAGCCATTCAGTCAGACACAAAATACCTTCCGGTTGCACACAAGCTTCCCCGGATGGAGATTAAAGATTGTTTGTGGACTGTTCTCTGACTCATTTTGCTAAAGTATCCGTTATAACTCCTAAAAATCCTTTCTACTAAGCAGGTACAATTATTCCAATTATACCAATGAAAAAATTCAGAATTTGGTTAAATTTGACCAAGATAATATACCAACTATGATTCAGAATTAGAATTTGAGTTCCATGTCATAATTCAGTTATCTATTATAATACCTAGGAGACACAAGAACTAATTTCATCTTGTTGATGGTTCCCAATAACTTCTAGTAGAATGTGTTATTTGGATTTAAATTATATCTTCTAATAAACACAAATGATGAAAATAAAACATCACAGGGAGGGTTCCACAATGGTCTATGGTGAAGGACTGTGGGTGCCTGGATGGTCTAGGTATGGTGTGGTGACATACTCCTGAAGACATGGGCTCCTATATGTCTGAATTATGTATTGTGATGTAATACAAATTTACCTTCATATAAAATATATATAAAAATATATATATACAGGAAAATATGAAAGAGGATTCCTTTAAAAAAAAAAAGGGGGGGGAACAGAAAACAATGTAAACAGAGTTACCTTGGTTTCTGGTGTGATGGCTGCCTCCAGCAATTTGGTATTAGAACAATCAACAAAAGAAATTTTTAATCCAAACTCAGCTGCCACCTTCCTGAAGTATCTGTTTGTACCTGAAATAAAAGGGAATCAGATAAAAAGGAAAAAAGTACTGTAAGAAATATTCATTCCTTATAATGTTAAGTTTGAATCCATGAATGGGTTTCAAGAGGTAAGATCCCTTGACCCTAAATTAAAATGGCAAATGTTGAGTGTATTCTAAGTACATTTGAGAGGTAGGGGTTTATAGATTTCAACAGTTTTTCCAAAGGTCCTCTAAAACCATACTGGAGGTGGAGTAAAGGGACGGGTCTAGTCAAGGTCTTTGAGAGAGTGATGTAAGTTACTGTTTCTTTTCATTGCAGGTGAAAATTTTAAAGTACACTAGAACACTCTCTAAACACTGTCTTCTTTATAGAAGAGTAAAAGTTGATCAAATCCCACAACCTCATTCCAGCAGCTTCAATAAAAATTTAATTAAACTGTCTCTCTTATAAGCAGTTCTAGAACAAGGACCCTCCATATTTATATTCCTCCTTTGCAAGCCTGAATCATTATAAAGTTGTCACCCATCACATCTCCAAAATATAGTACATAATCAATAGCGCTGTTAATACTGTTAATGTAATTCATGATTCACTTTATTATCTTTAAAATAACAGCTACACAGTATATATAGGAGAAGTCACCTACCTCCATACACATCATCCATACAAATAATTTGGTCTCCTGCTTTCAAGAGATGGGTAATAGTCATAGTAGCCGCTAAACCCGAAGCAAAAGCCAAACCTAAATAAAAATCAAGCGAGAGAGTCAAAAAGTAAGAGTGACAGGCTAATAAACATCTGCCATATTTACTTCCATTACCCTAAGTACCTCTCTCTGCTAAGAGAAGAAAAGCCACCAATGCTGAGTTATAAGAAGTTCCCTGATTCATATCATTACAAAAATCCCCATTCCTAATTCATAGATAAAATATAGTTAAATTATATATACTTCTGCTTTGGATATATTTCTTTCCTTTTTTTTAAAAAATATTTTCTTAAATTGTCAATTTTTTTACAGTATTTGATTTTTCCCCTCAGGTGTAGTCCCATCACCATAGCACCCCAAGATTCAACACCAACTTCCCTTATTATGCTCTTCTTCCCCCTCTTTTGCCCCCTTCCCCTAACTGTCCTCTGCTGTTTCCCTCAGATATATGGTCAGATTACAAGTTTTGTCTTTTTTGCTTTAGTTATATTTCTCTCAAATACTACAAGGAAATAATCCTTTAAAAGTTCTGAAATAGGTCAGTTGCCAATTAAATTATAGTAAAAATATCAAACTCTAAAGAAATTTCAATCTTGGGAAACAGAGCTGAGAGGTATGATTCATTCATTGGCTATAGTTGAACAAATATTTCAACAAAACTCAAAAACAGGCCCTCCCTGGCGGCGCAGCAGGTTAAGGTGCAACACTGAGAAGCTGACCATGGTTGCTTGGGTGTGAGTTCGATCCCCACACCAGAGGTGATCCACATGGCACAGCAGACCTCTCCTGTCTTGTCCACTGCTCCCCTCAGAAGTGTACTTCATCAATCTGCCTGTTCTGCTTCCCACTCTGGCTATGGTGAATCCTCTCACTGCCCCTATACCTTATGGCCTGTACCCAGAGATGTAGAAATTCTTTTTTAAAAATGTGATGCTAAATTTTACAATATTTCATTATATAATGAAATGCAATAAAATAATGAAAAATAATAATTATTAATAACTGGTATTTCAGCACATTAAACACTGTTAAAGAAAATGTCCTGACATTTCATTATATCTCCCAATAATAAAAATCACCTATGACTGTTTGTAGGGATTATCCAATTCACATGAAAAATATAATCATTGTAAAATCTCAGAAAAATTGAGAATGGAATCATAGTTTCTCTACTCAGTAGACCTGTGATCCAACAATGAATTCACATAGAAAGTGAAATTTTAAATTTAGTTTAAAACTGGGGCCCATTTAGAAATGCTTGATATATGAACACTCAGTCTTTCTACCTCCTTCAAAAAATAATGGTTTCACTGGAGAGATCCCAGAGGGGTGGGGGATAGAGAGGGGTCAGAAGGAGGGAGGAATGTAAGAAGGCTATGGTGATGATGGGTGGGTGAGGGGAAAAGTAAATATTGTTGTAAAAAAAAAAAAAGAAAAAGAAGTAATGGTTTCATATAGAACTAAAATTCAGATTAGTATTTTTTTTAAAATCTCCCCTCATCCAAAAAAAAAGCTAAAATCCCATACAAGCCCAACAACTCATAATGAACATTCTAATTCCTACACTTTGCTGTAAAAAAAAAATCATTAATAATACACCTACTTACTACTTCACCCTCATTTATTATATATTATCTTTTATATAAAAAATAAAAGGGCCTCCCTGGTAATGCAAGGAATTAAGTCTCAGCACTATGAAGCCATCAGCAGTCGAAGCAGCATGAGTTGAGATCCCCAGCTAAGGTGCTGACCCACATGGCATAGCAAAGCTCTCCTGTCTCACCAACTGCTCCTCTCAGCAGCTCAGTCATGTAGTTCAATAGAACTGTCTGTTCTGTTCCCTACTTTGTCTCTGGTGAATCCTCTCACCCCTACACCACTGGCCTCTACCAGTTCTTGTAATCATAAATAAATCATTTAAAATAAATAAATAAGACAACTTAACAGAAATCCACACTCTTTATTAAAAAAAACACAAGATTGGGCCCTCCCTGGTGGCGCAGCGGGTTAAAGCACTGCACTGGGAAGCAAAAGCCACTTCCACATGAGTTCGATCCCCGCCTGCCCCAGAGGTGACCCACATGGCCTGGCAGACCTCTCCTGACCCGCCCGCTGCCCCCCTCAGCAGTGTACTTCATCTATCTGCCTGTTCTGCTCCCTGCTCTGTGTGTGGTGAATCCTCTCACTGTCCCTGCGCCTCTGGCCTGTACGCTAGTTATGTATCCATAAATAAATAAATCTTAAAAAAAAACAAGATTAAGAAATTAATCCCTAATCTCGGAGAGCATACTGTCAAGAGCACCTGGCTATCACAAATATACCTTGGTGCTATTCTTAGGCATAAATAATCAGGTGAATGAACCAGATCATAAGAAAATTTACATTCTCATAGACAGTGTTATAAAACTTAGTTAATTTTTAATCTACTTATACAGACAGCTTTTAAGATGAAAAGTGTGCATTTACATGAGTACTAATTGACATTTTCACCATTTCTTCTCCATTTATATTAAATTTTGCCTGATAACCACATGTACCCATATTATGCCAGTTGTGGAATCTTGTTCAAATAATTCACTGTTTTAGCAAAGAATTGTGAACTAGCTATTCCTTATTTCTTTCCACATCCTGTGACTCTGCTTTTTTCTTTAATATATGAGTCTAAACTTAATTCTGAAATGAAAGTTACTTACTGTATTTAGCCCCATCCAATGCTGCTACTGCTTTCTCGAGGCAATTTCTAGTGGGGTTTCCAGAACGACTATATTCAAAACCCTGCAAGAAGTTAAGAGTTCATCTTAAAGAGATTTAAATTTATGCCAGACTCCTAACATAGACAAATCCATACCTAGGAGTTCATCCTATACCATGAGTTTCTAATATTTAGTTATAACACTTCTAGTCACTAAACAAAAGCATGATTATTGTGGCTGTCAGTATCTGGAAAGGCTCTGAAGTCAGCCAAACTAGATTAGAATTCTTTTTCTGTCACTTATGAGCTGTATGACAATAGATAAAAGTTGTAAACATTTCCTAAAGTCAACTTCCTCTGTGAAATGGGAATAAAATACAGGAATCTAGTTCATAGACTATTAGATAAAATGAGGTCATCATGCATAATTCTCTGCATGATGTCTAGCACAAATCAACCACCATATAAATGGTTTTATTAGTAGTTATATTATGTTACTCAACTTAATCTATTTATCTGGGAAAAGGGAATCACATGAGCTAACACAGTAAACCTGATTCTCACCTATAGTTCACTTCTTAAATAATAAGGTGTGCAAGTTCTGTTTAGCACTCAACAGGAAGCTATGAACCAACCCTACAAATGCCACAGGTCAGTTCTTGGCTCTACAAAAGTGGCTCAAAAAATAGGGAATAATTTTTGACAAAGCACAATACATTGCTGAAATTTGCATTATGCTCACACAATACATTGCTGAAATTTGTATTATGCTCATTTTACAAATATATCACCAAACTAGTTGAATACATTTTATTTACTCCTCATGATCTGTTTTGAGGATAAAGTGTGGCCTAATGTTACAATACCTAAGGAAATCAGAGCCATAAGGTAAATCCAGGATTTAAATATTAACTAAAAATATCTTTCATTTTCTCTCTTGCCTCACATAGCAGCACACAACAAAACACACTCTTAAACACATTTGTTTCAGGAGCTCCTAATATTAGTAATATATTTTTTTTTTTTAGTATTGTGTTTTGTTTGTTTCCTTGTTTTTGACAAACTGAGCCGACTTCATAGGGTCCAGGATATCCTCATTACTCACTGCCATCATCTCCTTGCTGTGATCTACAGCTGTACTCACCAGACAGAAAAACTGTTTGGATTCATGTAACTACTACCACAGAAAGATATCCTATATTCCCATAAATTTCACTGCACATATGTACCTTTGGGGGTGAGCAGGAAGAAGTATATTTCAGGGGCAAATTCCCACCCTTTTTTCCCACTCAATAGCTTTTCAAATGAAACTGGAGAATACCATCTTTCTTTTAAGTTTTCAAATCCTCTTTAATGTTCTCAATTTATTTTTTAAATTTGTTTTTTTGGTTGTTTGTTTGTTTGTTTTAGGGGAATTAGTGAAGTTTACCATCACTTCTGGCTCTCTAAAAACATTTAATCATTAATATCACAGCTAACAGGTTAACTTTCACACTAAGTTTCAAAGCTTGGATAGCCACACATTCACAAAAACCTGCACAGAACAAACTGCATGCTTGAGAGGTTGAGTACACATTTTGATTAGAAAATACACTAACCAGAAATATCTAAGCCAGTTGTAGAAATGCCCTTAGAACTCTATCTCACAAAACAAGGGCTAAGTCTAAAAGGAATTTCCTTGACCAAAGAGGTTTTTTAAAGTATGATTAAGGTTTAGGATTTACAAGGTTTATTTAGTCCAAACCTCAGAAAACTAAATGCTTCAAGAGTTATCAAGTATGCCACTAAAAGGGAAAAAGCTATGAGATTAACAAAGTGGTTTCTCTCATGTGCCTTACAAATCATTTACTTATGACTCTGGGTTAATTTATCTCTTCTGTAAAAAGTGTATCCTCTGACCTGGGCATTGTAGAATCAAATAGAAAAAAAAGTGCAAATGTTAACAATATGAAATATCAAACTGTGAAGCAATTATAATATATTGTACAGTTTAGCATACATTAGCAACAATTTTTGTGGTAGCTACTATTATTAACCCCATTTATACAGAATCAACCTTGAAGCTTGGATAGATGAACCAACTTGCTTCACGGTCACCAGTTCAGAAGAGATGTTAGAAGAATTTAAACCTACGTTCTCTGACTACATGATTTGTGCTCTTAGTCACTTAAGCCACACTACTTACATGATGCAATGGGTCAGTTTATTGCTAGCAGTATTGGAGAATAGCACTGTGTAGTTTAGAGCTTAAGTGTGGAGCTCTGGAGAGCTTTAATCCCAAATTCAATACTTAATACCACTTGGTCTTAGGCTAATTTTAACATGCCCAAATCTCCCCTTTTTTCATGAGAACCTCGTTGAGAGTTGGGTGATAGCAGGATCATCCAGGATTACCAGAGTAGGGTTGATAGAACTGAGCTCTGGAGGAGGGCTTAAGTCCCAGTTTCAACACTTAGTAATCACGTGGCCTTAGGCTAGTTTTAACAAGCCTAAATCTCCTATTTTTCATGAGAACCTAGTTCAGAATAGGGTTGATGGCAGGATTATCCAAGGCAACACATATATGTAACACACATGATATATTTAAGTATGTAGCTAACACACAGTAAGTGTTCAATAACTATTAATTGAGGGCCTCCCTGTTGGCCCCCGGGTTAAGACACAGTGCCATCAGGCTATCAGCCACTGTAGCACAAATTCAATCCCTGATCCCCGCCAGGAAGCTGACCCACATGGTGCAGCAGACCTCTCCTTACCAGCTAGCTGCTCCCCTCAGCAGCCTCTTTCAGTAGATCTGCCATATCTGCTCCCCACTCTTGTCTCCGGTGAATCCTCTCACACATATCCCATCCCCTCACCCAGCACCACTGGTCTAGACCCCAGTTCTTGTATGTATTGATAAATAAAATAAATCTTAAAAAAAAAAAAACAAACCTGTTAACTGAACACAGCTTTTAGGAATAGTATGATCTTAATTCTAAGGGAGTTATTTGACTTTTTTAAAAACTTACTCTTTACTATATCTCTATAATGTTTGCTGTTAAAGGTAATTTTCCGCTTTGAATTGCAAATTTGCCCAAACATGACTTTCAACTCAAATCTATGTAAGTTGGACAAACTGTTCTCTCCAATTCTGCTTATCAAAAGAAATATGATAGACCATCCAATACAAAGCTTTACTACGAGGGGATTTACAGGTGTAGTAGAAATCCTTTTGGGTGCCTACCTGCTAGTCATTTGAGTCATCAATTGGCGTGCCTTTTAATGTATTGTCATCTCTCATCTCCCGCTTAACCCGAGACCTCCCCAGAACATCCAGCTCACCGAGTGCCGTCCAGGAGCCCCTTGCTTGAACGTGGTAGACAGTGAGATGGGGGGCACGACAGCGTGGGAGTTCCATTGCTCCGGTTCCTGGCCCACATGGATGGCTTGCGTGGCAAAATGTTGGAAGCTAGGCTGGAAACCATGCAAGGAGGTGTCTTTTCGCTGCATGCTGCGCTGCGAAGGAAAAGAGAGAGGCAAAGAACGAGGAAGAAAACTAGAAAACTAGAGCGTCCGAGGGTCAAAAAAATGCAAGAATCCGGCGAAAGGGAACTAAAGGCAGCCCGGGGGACCAACTGCAAGCGTTCAAACACCCCACACCGCACCTCAAAGCTGAGACTTTATTAGCCGGCAGAGAGGGCTGCGTTCAGCGCAGGGCGGAGCCAGAACGACCCAGTGAGCAATGGCCCCGACCGTGCCCTCGCTCCTCATTGGCTGGCAGCGGAGGCGTTGCCTGGAGCGTCGCCGCGACCATTCTTCCCTGTGCAAAATGACCAGCGAAGCTGGAGTCTGTGTTTCCACGTGGTATTGGTCCCTGCAGGCAAAATTCCTGCGTTCCTGCTAAGGGGAAGCTGCTATGCTGGCTCCTGTGAGCCATCAGGGCATCAGTCCGACCTCAGGCCGGGGTTCACCCATGTGGTGGAGAAAGGCTGCTTGGTGTTGAAACCAATAACCGTAAACAGGCCACACAAATAGCCTTCTCCCGGTGCAACGGGTGCTTCTGACCCTCCCCCACCCCCAAGCCACAACCCTTTGTCCAGAGGGAGGTGCGGAGTGACACTTGCGACAAAGTGGGAATCTGTTACGAAAACCGTGGCTTCCAGCTGCCAGATTTGCAGCTTGGATTCTTATTAACCGTAGGTAACTTGCTTTTTAAGATACACTGAACTCTGTAATGAACCCAGTACTTGTGATGATTGAAACAAAAGTTAAGGTTATATTTTACTTAAGTCATTGCAAATTTACTGTAGTGAAAATCTCTAAGCAGCTCTGAAAACTTGAGCTCTCCCACCTCACCCCAGCATCGTTTTGAAGTGCAGGGAGAATTTCTCGATGATGAATTATTGTGCTTTTGAAAATATTATTGGAGCCTAAAATCCTCACACAAAATACTTTCATACGTAAACAATTACAGCAACTTCTCTGAGGGCAAACAGGAAAAAGTCCGGTGTCACGATTTACCACTCACCTGTACCCAAAGCCCTAGTCTCTCAAGAATCACCCTTTCAAAACAAACAACAAAAATCTCCGTGTTACCTAAATAGTACACACTTGACCTACTTACTTCTGTGACTATTTTGTGGGAGTAGGGAATTTAGGACTATTCCTACAAAGTATTAACTAAGTATCTAAATACCTGAAACATCATAAACTAAGAAAGGAAAATACAGAAAAACAGCTTTTAAAATTTTATAGAAAGGATTTAGGCGATTTGCTTTTTAAATAAGCTCCAGGAACACTTAGCAATGCCTAAGAGTCTGCAAGATTTTAAAGGCCTAGTAAAAGCTTTATACCTGGGGGAGTTGGGGGTGGGGGGAATGGAATGGATGGACTCTTGAATGCTAATGCTAATTGATATTAATGTATTTAAATAGTATCTTTTGTTAAAAATATAATGTCAATTGTAACTCATGCTGAGCTTTATATAGCTATAATGAGTATAATATAAATTGATGTTTAGGAACCAGGAGGGAATAAAGCAATCCTAATTAGTTCACTTCTTTTTTTTTTTTAATAATATAACAGTTTATTTTTACATCATTTTGTACATTTTTTTTTTCATCTCAATTGTAGTCCCCGTGGGTTTCCCATCACCGAGTCACCCGTGTGCCATCACCATGGTCCCATGCACTTAGTTCACTTCTTATTTGTGGAGAGTCCCTAAGATTACACTGATATGACCTCTATTATTACCTATCTTGGCAATACAGATACTGAGCAAAGATTTATACATCAATTTAAAATAAGGAATCCATCAAGATCAATGAGAAGAAAACGAATAAATTCAATCTCTTCGATCTCAAAAAGCAAACTGATTGACATTTAATCCTCTAAAAATGCAAAACTGGGCCCTCTGTGGTGGCACAGCAGGTTAAAGCACAGAACTAAGAGGCTAAAGCCACTTCAGCACGAGTTCTGATTCCCTTCTGCCCCGGGGCGGGAGGGGGTGGGTCTTACCACATGGCTTGGCAGACCTCTCCTGACATGCCGGCTGCTCCCCTCAGCAGTTTACTTCCTCGATCTGCCTGTTCTGCTACCCACTCTGTCTCTGGTGAAGCCTCTCGATGCCCCTGAGCCTCTGGCCTGTACCCCAGTTCTGTATGCACAAATAAATAAATCTTTAAAAAAAATGCAAAATTGCTCATTTGAATATTATTACGCCAGATAACCAACTAACTAGTGAAACAGCTAATTCAACAATTAAAACTCTTTAGAGAATAAAGAGTTATATGAGAAAGCAGTAATTGTTGAAAGGTGTCAAATAACTCATTTTCTTGTTAGTGACAAAGGCTAGTTTTTTTTGTTAAAGATTTATTTATTTATGCATACAGAGCTGGGGTACAGGCCAGAGGTGCAGGGGTGATGAGAGGCTTCACCAGCTACAGAGTGGGGAGCAGGACAGGTGGACTGATGAAGAACACTGCTGAGGGGAGCAGTGGGAGGGTCAGGAGAGGTCTACCAGGCCATGTGGATCACCCCGGCTCATGCTGAAGTGGCTTTAGCTTCTCAGTGCTGTGCTTTAACCAGCTGCGCCACCAGGGAGGAACCGACAAAGGCTAGTTTTAACACAACAGAAATGTGAACAGGATGGTTATACTTACAAATTTTCACTTATGTCTCTATATTGGGCAGAAGCTTCTTTTTTTTAAGATTTATTTTATTTATACATGTAAGAGCTGCAGGGTAGGCCAGAGGTGCAGAAGGTGAGAGTATAACAGGGTGGTCCCCAGGAAAAGGGAAGGTTCAAGGTTCCCTGCCCCACCCAAAGGAGGATGGAGCTGAGCAGAGAAGAGAAGACTCTGGAGAGGGGACTGGAGAAGAGGGAGGCAGGATGGAGACCCAGAAGGAGACCTGAGGGAGGCACATGGAGCAGAGAGACATGTGAAGAAGCAGCTCTGGTTTTCTTGGCCTTGGCCTGGTTGAAACAGATGTGGGTGAGACACCCACGGGGAGGTTAACATTTATCTTGATTTTGGTTTTGCTCTTTTCCTCCCAGACTTGTCTGGCCAGCCATTCCTGACCCTTTCAATGAGTCCCCACCGGAAGGTGCTTTAGACTTGTGTCTGGCTTTTGGCCCTTGCTTTGGGCCAATCCCTTTTGGGTAGACTTTTACCTACTAGGTAACTTTGCCTGTTTGATTTAAAAACTATATTCTTTATCTTTTCTGCATTGTACACTGATTGTATTAAAGTTCCTTTTTACTAAAGGAACTGATATATTTTTGGTCTGATATATTTTGTCTTGATGCAGCAGATGGCAGAAACTATTTAGAGCAGGCAGGTTTGGGGTTTCTCCCTGCCCTGTAACATATTTGGCACCCATAGTGATAGGACTAGAGACATCCATGGTTAGTCAGCCCCATCGGAAAGTTGGCTTTCCCATGACCCTGGCTACCATAAGCGCAACTGTGGGTTTTTTGTTTCCCTATAACAATAGTATTCACCAGAGGCAGAGTGGGAAACAGAACAGGTAGATCTACTGAAATACATTGCTAAGGGCGAGAGGAGAGGTCTGCTGCACCATGTGGGTCACCCCCCTGGCGGGGGATTGAACTCATGCTGCAGTGGCTGGCTATAGCTTAATAGCTCTGAGACTTTAACCCCAGCATCACAAGGGAGCCCCCCCGTCTTGCAATTTTAAAAGTTAAGTAAACAGATTATTTTTGTTGGCATTGAGTAGAAAATATAGAGAAAACAAAAATCTCTTTAAAATCGTAAAATGTATACATTTTTAATAATTGGAATATGTGGTGTTCTGTTCGACATAGGTATTATGAATATCAACAGTTAACACAAATAGTTATAAAAACAATACCAATACATGCCCAACAAATGATATTTGCCCAAAACTGCACTGCAGTAGAAATAGAATAATGCAAATAAGGTCATCCAAAGTACTGACAAGCAATGTCATTTGTTGATTCATTTTGGCTTTAAAAATTAATCAAAACAGGGCCCTCCCTGGTGGCGCAGCGGGTTAAAGCACTGCACTGAGAATCTAAAGCTGCTTCCGCATGAGTTCAATTCCCGCCTGCCCCGGAGGTGACCACATGGTGTGGCAGACCTCTCCTGGCCCGCCCGCTGCTCCCCTCAGCAGTGTACTTCGTCGATCTGCCTGTTCTGTTCCCCACTCTGTCTCTGGTGAAGCCTCTCACCGCCCCTGAGCCTCTGGCCTGTACCCCAGTTCTGTATGCACAAATAAATAAATCTTTAAAAAAAAAATTAATCAAAACAAAAACGTATTGAATCCCTACTATTATACAGAGCACCATGCTTGATTCTGTGCTAATACAAAAAAGTAGTGATAGAATCTTGTATGCTTTCTTCTGAGATCTGACTTTTGATGTTCAAGTCTTTTCTAACTTCCTGCTAAATAGTATGTCCAAGGCAGAGGTCATTATCTTTTACCATAGCTATCATCCTCACCAATTCTTGGAGTCAGTGCCACCAATCTAATATCCATAATCATAAATTTGAGTCACTCAGGACTTCTCCCCCTCCACAACAAAATGGGCTAATTAATCTCTACAAATTTGAAATCCTCAGTATCTCTCTTGTCGGTGTTTCTTTTTTCACTTCTACATCAGTTTAAATTTTTATTATTTGTCATCAGACAAACTGTAACAGCCCCCTATCTAGTTTTCCTATCACTTTTATGAATAAAAGTTTTTAATAGTCTTTTTCATTAACATGTTGTAATCAAGACTCCTCAGGATGATCCTGTCGGTTTTTGGAGTCAATGGGTTTGGAGAGCAGCATCCTTGGGTTCACGCTGGGAAAGGTTTCACCAGAGCTCCCCTCCCAACAGCACCCAGGCCACTTCCTCAGGCTAGTTTTTCCATGAGACAGAGACGTTGGTTATATTTTATAAGAGCTGGTTTATTCGAGAAAGGGACAAAAGTGTAAAGGATGCTTGCATAGACAAAATTGGCCAGATAGAGCTGTTCCCAAAGGGACACGTTTGTTGAGTGAAATCTGCATGGTTGTAAGCAGGCTGCTTTGAGGAGAGTGACTTCTCCTCTGCTGAGAGATGTCAGTGAAGAGAAGCCCTGAGATTGTACAGGTCACAGGCAGGCTGGAGGCTGC